GCAAAAACGCATAATCGCACCGGCCCGCCTGGTGCGTTCCAGCCTGGGTTTGCATGAAGTCCGGTCATTTTGCCGGTGATTGCCCGTTCATTGAAAAAATACAAATTTGAAGGAAGTCGGAAGAGGATTATACAATCTGCAAAATGCACCCGCTTTTGAGTTTGCGATAAAATTGAGTATTTGTCATCTCTGCGTGCAAAACATTTTACTTCCAAACTGAATTAAGACCATATGTGGATATAGAATATTCTTGCAAAGTTTCAACTTCGCAGCTTGCCTGGCAAACAATATAGCCACTTCGCTACAAATATCTTTGAAGTGCCATAAGTCGTGGTGCAAATGCAGATCAGAACTCAATTTAGAAATATGATTTAATATGTGAGCAAAAAAAACTCTGACAGAATTACAGCTAATGTTTTCCGGCTCGTTTTTGAGTTAGCACAGCGTCAACCGCGTACTTGACATGGCTGCACGCGCTGTGCAAGTGTACGCAATAGCTGAATTTGAAATCTTTAGTTCATACATGCACAGAGAATATTCTTGCAAAATTTTAACTCCCATCTTGTCGGATTCACGAAATCGATTTTTGCCAAAGAAATATGCGTATTTTCGGGTTCAACTACACGGGATCTAGGCGTGCATGAGCGAAGATTTTAAAACTGGTGGATAACAAACGAAGTGGGGATATGTCGCCAAAATTTCAGCCTCCCAGCTTTTCTGGTTGCTGAGTTGAAAGTGGACGACAAAGTTCACTCGCTTCCAAAAACACACACACATATGGACGACTTCACGACTATATGTGCCCTTACTAGCTGTAGCAGCGCTACAGCGATGCGCAGAGAACGTATAAAAAACTTGTCCAAACCTTATTTTTTATTTTTAGCTATTTATTAGCTGTACTTACCTTGCTTTTATTTTATTAAACAGAGGGGACTTTTTCTTTAGTAAATCGGAGGAATTTAAAGGACCACTCAAGCAGCTCACGAGGAGATGGCGCACATACATAAAGCAGATGGTGGACACTAGCTGAAAGTATGCAGCCTAGGCCGGACAGCCTGGCATAGCTGCGCTCAAGGTTTTAAAGCATCCTTGTAACATCATAATGGTAGTTCGAAAAGCCTTGGTATTTCTGATATTAGCTCTGTGCAGCTAGTTCAGATTCTTAGATATTTGAAACTGGGAATTTACTTTAGTTTTCAGCACTTATTTTTACGCCACCGCCAGCGAAGTAAAATTCCAAATTGTTTCAGTCTCAAAATGCATACAGAGGCACTCAATCGACTTGCGCTCATTTCTCAAACATTTCACAAAAGAGACTGCCATCGACTTTTTTACATACGTAGTTGTGATAGCTGATAATGGCACTGAAACAGAAACCCAGGAAAAATGTTAAAAGTACTTGCAGTACACGATGTTAAGTGTAACGACGCTTTTTCTTGGCATAATTGTGCACAAGTCTGTGGTGGCATTCAGCATCGGCATGAATTTGATCAGGAATCATCCAGGAAAAATATTTTTTGTTATATTTCTGGTTATCATTGTGGCGCTTACTGCTCCTGTTGGTGGCTTAATTGGTATTGCTCTTGAGGTAACTCGTTTGCTAGTTTCAGTCTTTTATTCATAACAGCTCTCTCTCTTGCCTCTCTTTCTTGGATGGTCCTGACCTATTACCCACAGAAGAATGTTTCTGCAGCAGAAACCCACTACCTGAACAAACTGACATCGCAAATCCGTGTAGTACTAACAAATCTGTATGCCTCAGACAGCGCTGTCAAAATCGAAAGCCAAAAAAGTCACAACTTTCGTTGCATTAATTTTTTATGAGAGGCGGAGAAGTTTGAGAAGCAAACGCCAATAGCATCTGCTTGCTGGCAAAGCTGTCGACGACTCACTGTTTCGAGAGTTGCTCGCAGGCAAGTTGATGACCAGCTTGACTCCCTGGCACGTGTCAATATCAGTTTACTCACGTCGAAGCGAATGAACGAATTGCAACCGACAAGTTTCTACCTTCACTGCGCGACAACAGGGCTAGATAATAAATAGTAACTAACTGAAACTTATATCTACCTTGGTAGTATGTGAGAAAAATGCAATGCCGGAAGCAGCGATTTGTAAAACTTGTGTTTAAGAAAAGTCGAATTATAGTATAAACAAATGCTAACTTTGGTAGTAATTCAATGCGGGAGAATTGCAGGGCGCCGAAATTGGTGAGCAGCCCAGGAATATAGTAACAGCAGTATTTACATCACTAGCCATTGGTACTTTCATTTATATTACTTTTTTCGAGGTTGGTCACTTTTCGATCTCATCCAGTTTCGGAAACATAACATTACGAGTTGGTTCCCGAGTCGTAAGAGTAGTAACAAATTCCTAATTTAAATTTCACTTATGCCTACGCAAAACGCAAGCGAAAATAAATTCTAATTCCTAGGTTCACACGTGGGCATAGAAAACATCTAAAATTTTAGCTTCATAATTTATCTGCTTTTCGGGTTGGCATTCTGCCAGGAGCTTTCCAGTTTGAACTTTTACCTTTTTTGCAGGCGAAACGCAAAAAGCTGAACTTAAATCCCCAGTGCTGGACATTAACAGAAAGCACCTGTCTAAAATTTCAGCCTCCTAGCTTCTTTGGTTGCTGAATTATAAAATTTGGACGGGCAACTGAGCGCAAATATGCACACAGGCACAGCTCAACAATATGCTTTTTTTGCACCGCATCATTGATGCAGTGACGTAAAAAAACTGATGCAGCTGAACTCGGTCTGTATATGCGAGTATTTGCAGATACTGTACGAAGAGCGGAGGAAGGAGGAGTGGAAACTGGAGCAATTGTGTAGTACTATCATTGGCTTCGCAGTGATTGCCGTGTTTATGCTTTACGAACCTTGAGTTTACAGTTGTCTGCTTGTTAGCTGAACTGATATTTTAGGTAAAATTTAAAGAAAAAAGATGCTGCATTTTATCCATCGAATACATCACATAATGAAATACTTGTTAAGTCTTGTTAGCTTGCTTCGCAATTAGTCTTTTAGTCCTTTACCGTTCGAAAGTTATCATACCGCTACAGCTACGAGGAAAAAATAAGACCCAGGAAGCCAGTATAGAGTGTCATGATCAGTTCCTGCCAATGAATGAGCATAAAGGAACCGTGAAGACGTTTATAATGAAACACTGGAAAGCTAGATGTACATATGGTTTTACTCAGATTCAGGAGCAGTGTATTTTTGCACCCAGAATTCAAAACACAGCGTATCTAATTTTGAATTGAATGAATCAAGATTCAGGATCTTGATCATGTAACGAGCGAAACAGTTAGCAAGAAAACTGGTTCTTTTATAATTGACTCGATTTTCACAGAAGCAACTTAAAATCAGTGGCAGTTCTTTGGTTGTTGATTTCTTGAATTTAAATTTTGAGGATCGGAATCAACAAGGCCTGGTGCATCCAATATCTAAAAATGCCCCCAGTAACATCACTGGTGTGGTACGCCCACACTGACTGTCCGAGTGGTTTTCGTGTTTTCAGTGGTTTTAAAGGATTTTCTCATCAAGTTCCACCTTGTCGGTTAACTTGGAGCATTCGCAGTATTTGCGAAAATCGCACTCCATTGCAAATTACTGAGGAAAATTAATTTTTCTGTAGAAGTTTAAAATGGTTTTGTTTTAGTTGGCCGCAGTGGGAAGTTGCATTGCTCTCTTGTTGATAATCGAGAGGGTCTGCATTCGCCAACAAGACAACGGGTTCCTGTACAAATCATTCACTCGTTTCGATGTAAAATTAATATTGGTACTTGCCAGAGAGTCAAATCTGCCATCACCTTTTTAAGAGCAAAACTCGGAAGAGAGAACTATCGACAGCTTTGGCACTGAGTGGCTAAATGCTCACGATGAGCTAAATGAACTAGTATTTTAGCTCGTTTGGTGCGATAATTTATGCGCAATAGACGATAAGCTATTAGATTTATAAGCTGCCCAGGATAAATATATAATGTCCTTTATGGATGTCATTGATCAGCGATTGTTTTTCTAAATTACTGTTTTGTAAGGCGAAAATTCTTTATCCTTCACGGGTCCAAAAGAGACGCCTTTTCAAACTTAGTCGCTAGCATCTAGGTACCTCGTTTCTGTTTTCTGTTTCGCAACGAGGAATATGAGTAAATACTACAAGAAATTTACCGTATAACACTTACTGCAAACACTTATCCTTCACTTCCAACGGAAATTACGATAATGCCTGCCAAGACAACGCACAATTCTGTAAAAATGTAAAATTCAAGAGTTTTTTTCCTCGAGAATTATTTGGTAACTTTCAAAAATTCTCTCTAGGTTGCATTTAAAGCAATGACCTCGCGGCCAAACCTCGAAAATCCTAAATATGCCCAAAACGTCTTACGGGCAAAAATTTTACAAGTTTGTTTTCCGAGAATTCTTAGGAAATTTTTAACATGTTTTCTAAAATGCTATTCAAACGATTATAAATGATCGAGACGGGCTTTCGAGCAGATTTCAGGCGGCTAAAAATCCGAGATATTTGGAGAGGGCAAACAGCGGATTACAGACGAATACAATACTCCACACCAAAGAATACAACGAGGAATATTTTCTGCATTTTCATCACATAAAATTCGTAACAGCTGGACATGATTTCTGTTCTTATTATGCGTTTTTGCATACATGTAAATGCGAAAACGCATGTTGTGACGACCCTGGTGTATGTGTGTGTGGAGTACTGTATTCATTTGTGTTTGTCCGGATATTTCAACTCGGCACCCAAGCAGGCTCTGGCGCCAAAATTTTGCCAGTGGGCTCCCCGACCAAGTATCACCCCAGGATCGCGTTACCATTTCTCACGCACGTCTAGGCCCCGCATACGAGCCTCTCAAAGTTTTGGTGGGAAAATCACTAACTCGGGAGCCAAAAAAGCTAGAAAGCCGAAATTTTGCACTTATGTTCCCCGTCACATAACAGAAAGATTTAAATTCAGCCTCTACACATGCATGGTTCTCATGTGCGGCCCCATAAAAATTTCTGGTCGGAAAATGGCTAACTCAGGAATCAGGGAAGCTAGGAGGCTAAAATTTTCAGGGAATGTTCCCAGCTCATGCGCAATTTAAAGTTATCAAATTCAGTCGCCGGGCATGCGTGGCTCTCACGTACTCCCCCGTGAAAGTTCTTGGCGAGAATATGGGTAACTCGGGAACTGGGAAAGCTAGGACCTGAGATTTTAAGGGAATGTTTAATGTTTCCTGTCCAAGTACAACGTAGACAACTAACTTCCCGAAAAAAAATTCGAGGACCAGTGTATCACACATTTCTAGCTACTGGGTTTCGGAGCGATTTCATTAGAGCACGAAACACTGCAAAAACTCATGATCGCACCGGCTCGCCCGGCGCGCATCCCCAATGATTTTGAAATTAACGATTATAAAACTGCAACAATAAAAAAAGAAGGGAAGAACAACGGAAGAGCAGAAAGGAAAGGCTGTGAGCAATGAACAACAGTACTGAAATGCTGAGAAAGTATCTAGGCTGCTCACAATGTGCTGGGGACAAAAGATATTGAAACAATGCATAATTTCTCAGGCAAAGAAAAAATTGTATCAAAAACAGAGTCAAATATATGGTGCCAAATTTCTCGATCCCGAAATGTTTGCTAAATTCAAAAGCACTAGATTTTAAAGAAAAGGAGCAAGTGGAGGGTGAGGTGTTGGGAGGGAAGGTAAGCCTAAAATTAGTCAGGAAGTAACGCTTGGCTTCAAAGCTTGTTATTCTCGGCGACGATAAAAAGAAATTAATTTTTATTAAAAGCTGAATGTATTACAAAATAGCACCACAGCATGATACTTCTAATCTGTTTGCATTGATTAGTTCTTGACCTTCCGAACAATCGACTCGGGTATCGTGTGTTAATAATTTTGCTACGATGACTTAGCACTTTAGATCAGCGTTATAATTAACGCTAAACATCGATGTTATGGTTAATAAACATTAATATCATTAACTATAACATCTTAATTTTAACTAGCGAAATTATAACATTGATTAACGTTAGGCCGGGAAGGGGAAGGGTGATTGGGGCGGCGGAGAGGGCTGGCTGATGGAGACCGGGGAGGGGCAGAGGAAGGGTTGGTTGGGTGGAGGAAGTGAGGTTAATTCACCTAATGTTGTAATTAATGATGGTGTTATTTTGATTCACAAGGCTTATTCATATTAATGCTCTAATTAATGCTAATCTTATGTAGTTCATGCTGCTGTTAAGCTAATTCGCGTTAGTATTATGCTAACTCATGTTAATATTAAATTATTTCATGCTAATTTCTGAGAATGAATTCATGTTACTGCAACGATATTGCAATATGTAATTAATTATTAAACAAAAAAATTTCAATTTACATTCCAAAATCGTGAACGCCAAAAAGCTTAACCATGAAAAAGAGTGCCTGAAATGCCCGACTGATGTAGATTTTCACTTTTGTCAATACGCTAAGAATGGAACAAGAAGCACCAACAGGAACATGCTGCAACCAAATACTTAAATTTAAATGTTATTGAAATTTCTACCTAGATTACTTCGTAGTTGAATTTTAAGTTCAAATTAATTTCTTTCTTCTATCGGACTGAAAACACTGCTTATCCTAACGATACCTTATCCTCATAAGACTGACGGTCAGACGCAGCATACATTGAGTCCTGTGTTAAGCTATGTATTTCTACTTTTACACCTTCTGACATTTTGTCGCTGTCGACTGAATTTGGCACTACTCATTTGCGATAAATTTTGCGCGCCGACATCTAAATTTGGTACCTCTTAAAGTAACGCCCTGCAATTTTACACCACCAGGACAAAAATTTCGCCTCCTTTTGAGAACAATAAGCAGTCCCTTTCTTGGATTTAGTGATGTGAGTGATGTATGCACCTGAAATGGTAGATGAAACGTTTTCAACCAAATGGGCACTACAGAAAATGATAAGCTCTCGACCTGAATTTTGCTTTGACTGTTTGTAAATGCTGCATATACTTTAGTATGAGGGCGGCCTGAACAGCCAATGTGGATATCCCATGTTTTTAAGACTGCTCTGACTGGTCTTTTGTTTTCTTTTGTTTACCATTCGCTAATGCGTGAAGTTCACCAGTTATTGGTAAGCCGAATAACGCCAGTATGTATGTAGCCGAATCAGTATGAGGATGTCCTTTCCATTGAATTTTACGTTCTTTCATGGCCACAATGATATCCTGCATAAAGAATGCATATTTTTAACTACAGTAATACATTCGTACATATATTTTAAGACAAACCTACCTTCTATAATTGGCTCATTCGTTTTGACCCTCTATAATTTATTCGCTGGTATCAGGTTAGTCCAAAAAGATGAACCTGCCATCAGCTTACTTTTAAGCAGTTCTCAAAAAGGAGTGTTACCGACAGCTTTGCCAGCCGATTTTTGCCGTAGGTACGTGCTACCAATCAAACTTTTTGACACGTACATTTTTTTGGCATATTTTCTTCAGTATTTAGTTTAGCTCGCTTTCGATAATTCTCGAATAAAGGCCAACTGCGCTTTTTTCTACTGCATTTCGTTTAAACTTCATTACCCTGATTCAATTTTTGTGAAAGCTGGAATGCAGGGAAGCATTGCTCCCACAATACAGTAACATTAATCATGGAATTCTCACAACGACTGCTTGTATAGTTTTGTAAATCTTGATCGTTTGTCTCCGAATTAAAAAGTTTTGGAATTGTCATGTCAGATATTTAGTTTCCTGGATAATTTGGAGTTGAAAATCAAGGCTCACTGTGTTCTAAACTCACGCTCTTGAAAGGATTCCTATCCATAACATTAAGTCTGGCAAGTTTGGCCGTTGAATCGGTGTTAGTCCTCAAAGATAAC